TGAGGGAAGAGGGAATTTACTACCCCGCTATACATCAATATCTTCTTTATATGCCATCAATATTCTTTCTAATTCCATTAGGTGATTACAAATACTTTTCTTATTTTCGGTCAACATTATCCATTTGTTTCAAACTATAGCAAAATTTTTTCGCTCTTTTCGAAGGTCAGTTCTAATTAGTTTGCCTTGATTATGGACGTTGTTTTCAAGTGGTTCTTCTTCTTCTTCTAACAGTTCTCTCAGGCTGACTCCGCTGGCTACAAGGATAAGATGTCTCTAAACTGTCTCATTGCTAGTAGTAATAGAAGCCATTTTTCCATCGTCGAAGTCCATATATCGCTGGTTCTCTATACGTTCAAAATTTTTCTTTAGTCCAGGTCTTGACTGGCCCACCTCGCTTTTGATGCCACACGGTTTGGCAAGTAACGAAATATGTGTCAATTCCTCTGGTGGACGACGGAGAACGTGCTCTTAACCAGCGAAGGCGACCTTCTGTGATAACATTATTAATAATATGAGAGAAGATGGATACTATCATGCGCGATTTTATCTGCTCGGCGTACCTTAGGCATTAGTGGTCAAAGGTTAATAGTTTCTTAATATCTTCCACTCTCATTGACCATGTTTCGCAGCCACATAGTAAGATCGAACGAATTGCAGCTATATGGACTCGGATTTTCGTCTTTTTGGTAATTTCGCGACGATTCCATAAAGATTTCATCACCCATAAGAAAACACATTTCTAGCTGTCGTTATCCTGGTTTAAAGGACTACAATTTTACTAATCGCTTGGCCATTTGAGATTAGAGTGGATTCAAGATATTTAAAGTCAGGCCCTTCCTCAACTGGCAATGTATTGATAAAAATAGGTATTTTATCAGCATTTTGTATATAAGACGAAAACAAGTAGTTAAAAAGCGTTGATTATTTAGCAATATTCACATCATTCTTTGAAAGCATTGAAAGTAAAAATTTACAAACTAAAAAAATGCAATAATTCATTTACTATAAGTCCATCAGACGAAATTAGTATAAATTAATTAGTATAAAACAGTATTATTAAAATTTTTAACAAAATTAATAAAATAATAATAAAACAAATTACTTATGGATAATAATTAGCAGCAGCCTAAAATAATTTATTTATTCAAATCATCCCACAATAGTGAAAAATATAAAAGTTTTGACGTGGACAAAAATTTATAGAACCTTAAAAAATTTATTTCAGCGTAAATTTTTCTTTGCTTAGAAAAAAAATTAGCATAAAAACATAAAAAAGAAAAAGCTAAGAGATTTTGATTTTAATTGAAAGCAAAAAATAAGCGCCATTAAAAGAAGAAAAGATTTATATTAATTTATTTTTTAATGAATAAAGAAAAGATTATGAGAAATCAATGAATGCGATAATAAGTGGAACCAAGAAGAAAAACTCTAATATTTAATAAAATATAAAAGCACCTCATTCAGTAATTTTATCGCATTCTAACAACGAACATAACAATATTATTAGATAAAGAACACATATGAAGTAAAACTTTATAGTTGGGCTTCCTCCATATCAATGTTTTTTATATGTTTTTTTTAATAAATAGCTGTAACTATGCAAATTATATAATTTTAGAATAAATTAGAATATTAAGAGCATTTCGTATAAAATTTAATATCATTTGGAATTTCGAGATGGCCAATCAGCTCGCAGTAATCAACTGATAGTGATAACTCACAATAATCAGTTGACAATGATAGGGAATAGAAATTGAACTCAACCAACTTGGTTTTAATGCTAATACTATTTGTGGTTGAGCTCAAAATATTTTAAGATTGACTTAAATAAAATCAGAAAGAATTTGTTGATTCAATGAAATTATAGCCATAACAATGAAGAATTCCGATTTCGAGAGAAATATTCTTTCAAGCCAAAAAAAAAATTTCAATTAAAAATATCGAAAAGTGAGGAAAAATAGATTTTTCTATAAAACATATTAAATTATAAAAACTAAGCAATAATTCATAAAATTGTAAAGTTGTAAAAAATTTTGCGAAAAATTTTTATAATAAATATTATAAAAATTTTAAAGAAATAATTCGTAAAATTTAATGAATATAAAGCAAAAAAATCAATTCGTTATTTGAATTGATTTCAAAAATTATTTGAAAAACTGAGGAGAATAAATAATCAATTCCTTTGGTACTTTACGGTATTCTAATAAATTTACTGAAATTTATTAAATTTAGGAAAAGTTACCTGAATGTGACATTTTATTTTTAGCCGATTATTTTACAATGAAATAGTGATTGCGCTTCATTGATTTCGTTTATTATCTTGCCAAAGCTTTAGAATATGCTTCAGTTGTTCTGAATTTTTTTTCTCTAAGAGTGCTCACAATTTGTAGTTAGGCATGCTGTCTTGTCAGGTTCGACAAGTCTTGCTAAGGAGTCTTTTGGTGCTATTCTTGCAAAAATTTATGTGAATCCACTAGCAGCATAACCTTGAATTTTACAAGGCAGATTCATTTATAGATCTTCCAGGATGAGAATAGCAGCTCATTGAACTTTATTATTCTTAAAAGTATCATCATCTAAATTCTAAATTGAAAAGGCTCTTAATTTTTTTTTTAGAAATCCTCACCATTACTGGTTAAACTCACTCCGCTGACTTGTCGTAATGGACAAATATGCCAGAGAGTCCCTTGGCGATAGAGATACGGATGATTCATCAGCATCATCCGGATTTTTATACTGGTTTACTCCTGCGGGGAATCGAACGTCAGCATTGGCACTCCGGATTGGGCAACAACCTACTGAGCCATTCTATCCTCTAAAAATAAGTTACTCTTTACTCAATTTCATTTGATCTAAACTTGATCTAATAAGCAAATAGCAATATAGCCTCATACACGTGTTTTTCAATAGGAATGTTGTGTTGTGATTGGAAATTTAAACTATTTTAACCGAGGATTGGTGTAAATTTCAACATAACCGCAGTTATATGCAATTGATGAACTGTTGTTTAATTAATTGTGAATTGTTAAATTTTTCCTAATTAAAGAATAAAAAATTTTTTATTTGACGATATATTAAAAAAGACGAAAATTCGAGAAAGAAATAAATAAAATAAATAAATAAATTGCAAAAAAACTAAAATTTTTAAATTAACCGAAATTTTCATTGAATTCAATTGAATTGCAAATGTTCCGAAATTTATTGGTAAAAAGCCAATTACGAGGCTAATTAATTAACAATGAAAATTGTTAATGTTAATTGTTAATTGTTAATTTTAATTGACTAAATAAAAAAAAAAATGGAAAAATATTTTTTCCTTAAAAATTCTTCGATATGGAAACAAGACAAATAGCGTTTTACGATTATATTTATTCATTGTAGTAATGATTTCTAAAAGAATAACGAAAGAAGATAAACAAATTTGGACTCCTTTAGGAAGTTGGCATAAAGCGATAATTGGTTAGTTGGTTTCACGACGTAATTGGTAAATTATTAATGCAAATGGCTTTCATGAGAATTCATTTTCGAGTTAAGCTCGTCAACTTCATTACAACAAATAAATCGCTTTGTAAATAAATAAAAAATCACCAAGTTATTATTATTAGGAGCGCTAGGTTAAAGGCTTCCAAACCATTATTAGCATAAAAGAATGAACAAAATAAAGACCACTTTATAAAAATAAATAATTATTATTCAATATTCATTTATGTAGTTCTACTTTATCGCTTATATTTATTCATATTCGTCGTAATGGCTAATATATTTATTTAAATTGAATTTATTCTTAAAATATTTCTATAATATTTTAAAATATTTAATCTTAAAATTGAAAAAGTGGAAAAAAAGATTAGATTTTTAAAATCATATTTTTCAATTTAAAAAAGACTTATTAATTTAGTAGTTTGTCGCTTTCATTTCAAAATGATGATGAGCTATTTTCAAACTACGATTCCATCATCACCAGGAATCTATCTTTCCTATCTACTAAGCCCGAAAAACCTGAATGGTACTAGCAACTCACCTGTACTTCTATCGTTAAGTGACTTCAAAATTTGCCTGCAAACTAACACAACGGGCTCTAACCAGAAATGATAGAGCACTTCAAAGAAAATGAAGGCTCGAATATAATCGATCTCACATATAATGATTTAGTTGTTATATCCAAAAATATGTAATTAATTGTTTGTTGTTGGTTTCATGCTTTTCCATTCTTTTTTGCTTTTTACCAAATTTTATGTGCTTTAAATCGAATTTTAATTTTGAATCGAAATCTATTGTGCAAATTTTAATGCTAACAAAGTTTTTACCAAAAGTTTCCATGCGTAATGACGAGCATTTGCTAAATAAGGCCAAACACCTAAGTTTGAGGGTTTGAGGTAATTATTAATTTTGGCTTTCCTCTCAAGGAGCCTTCTTTCTTTGTGGCCAAAATTTAATTATGGAAAAGAATAATATTTACCATTATTTACATTTACTTGCTTATTTTAATATTATTTATTTAATATTTTATTGTTATAAAAAATTTAATTATATTTTTTAATATTATAAAAAAAGAAGCTACAAATCGTTCATCAATTAAATCATTCAACGATGAAAGGAATTTTCCAACTTTTTCATTCTGAAATTTAATTTGTTTTGACAGATATATTTCAGTTATTTGATTTTTTTTGACATCTATTGCCTTGGAAATATGAATTAATTGGAATTTTCTTAATTAAAACTTTAACTTTAATGATGCGATTTTTTAAAGTTATTCCAACAATAAATGAAACAATTTTTATCATTTTGATTTTTATAATACTTTATTTCTTCTCAAATTACATAAAATTAAAATAAAAAATCAAAAATCGAAAAATTAAAGGGCGATTTATTGTAGCCAATTTTTATTCAATTTATGACATATTACGATAAAACTGCTCGAAAATACGAACAAAATAATGATTATCAGAGCAAAATTTAATCCACTTTTGGTGATAAATAAATGATATTTTAATCAATTATATTGATGATAATGGTAAATTATGTTGTTTTGATTTTTTTACCATTGATTTGAGAATAGCTCTGAGATTAGGATTGAACCAAGTATAGATAATTGGATTACAAATAGCTGAGATCATTGCAATAACATGGCATAAGGCAAATATTGTTGAAAACCAAGTAGAAACACCATTAAAATCCCTCGAAAGATTTATTAAGTTGAGCGGTAGCCATGCCAGTATAAAACCGAGTACCATACATGCCATCATTCTAAATTAGTTAATAATTTAATGCAGTTTTTAATAGAAAGCTAAAATTTATAATGGAATTCTTATAGTTCAATTTTCATAGATAAAAATTTTAATTATATAAATTTTTCTATAAATTTTTCTTTTGTATTTACAATTTATGATTTATTAATAGAAGAAAAGCGAATCAAAAAAATGAATAAAAATTAATCACTTATCATAATCATGAAATTTTGTTCGCTTCAAACTTTTTTCGCTGAAATTATTCTTACCTGTTTGCTTTGCTTCTCCTGTCGTGAAGCTTCTTTTCTTGAGATTTTAATAAATTTTCTTTTTCGCGCCGTTTCACTATTTGTTTTGCAATCACTCTACTAATAGACCAATAGCATAATGTGCATATCAATGTCGGTGCTCCGAATTGTAGTATCATTACTGTTAGACCATAGATCTGAGACATCTTTGATCCGCCATCGAGGTTTGAATCGGGCCTATAATTTGAAGACTCAAAAACTTTGGCAAGGAATCACTCGAGGAGAGGTAATCTCCATCAAATTCCCACTAGACTACGATTTTTAATGACAAATTTCCTCCTGTCAAATGGTAGAAATCGATTACTTCTCCTTACCTCTCCTTCAGCCAAAACAGTTAATTTTTAATATCTCCAGTTAATTTTTTTATTTTTCCTTCTATGAGATTATTAAATTTGTAATGCAGCTTCTGAGTTCATGCAAGATGGTAGTAAATTATAAAAATCTTAAAAATTCTAAATCTTAAGAAATTAATGACTCTAATTTATATCAACCTCTAATATGAGAGAGCCCATGCAAAATTTTAAGTATTATGAATTAATTTAAATAATTAGTCTAAAATCTAATAAATGACAATTTTCACTGTTAAAATGATAATAATGAAAAGCACTAGTAGAATTTCCAATAAATCTCTTTCTTCGATATATAGCATAAATGAATTTACCATGTTTCCTCACAAAATGTGCCGCAAAACGGCTGATATTCTACAGTCCATGAGAAAAAGCCAACTGGCAAGGATAATGAATAACCAACGAACCAAATACTAAGAACAATGAAAAGTGCTCGTTCAAATTTAATAATCTGTAAATCATTGATATTAATTAAATTGATCTCTAATTCTTCTTTTTCTAACTGTTCTCACCCTTACTAGTTAGGCTGGTAAGGCGTCTGCAAGCTGCTCGGCCCGACGCCATCGCTATTAATAATAGAAGCGATTCCTTTTTCCATCGTCTAAGTCCATACATCGCTGGTTTCCTGTATATGCGTTATATATATATATATATATATAAAGATTTTGAACGCATATATATATATATATATATATGTTCAAAATCTTTCCTGGTTAAATCAATCCAGGTTTTGACTGGTCCTCCTCGCTTTTGACGCCAACCATCACAGAGTTTAACAAGTAACGAAATATGCATCAACTCCAGTGATGGACTACAGAGAACGTGCCCTAACCAGCGAAGGCGACGCTCTGTAATAACATTATTAATACGGGTGATAATAGAACAATGACGGATACAATACAGTGCGATTTTATCCATCGACGGTAAAATATATTGACATGATTGGTCAAAGGTTGTTAGCTTCTTAATGTCTTCCACTCCCATTCGTCATGTTTCGCGACTATAGAGCAAGATCGAGCGAATGGTAACTATATGGATGCAGATTTTCGTCTTTATGGTGATTTTACGATGGTTCCATAAAAACTTCATCAACCGGAAAAGCATATTTCTAGCTGTTGTTATCCGGGTTGCAATTTCATCCTTTGCGTGGCCATTTGAGATTAGAGTGGATCCAAAGTTTTTAAAGGCAGGCATTTTCTCAACCGGCAATGAGCTGATAAAAGTAGGTATTTTATCAGCATCTTATACATAAGACGAAAACACTTTCGTTTTATTTACATTGGTTTTGAGTCCAATTCTCGCTGCATTTGTTGATCCATTGTTTAATAATAATATTTGCATTTCCTTATAATTATCAGCAAAAAGAATTATTCAAGGTCTAATACTATGCTCTGGACTGAATTGTGCACTTCTTGTGTGGCGATGTCCATCATACAGTCTATCATATAGTTGAATACTGTTAGGGAAAGAATTGCTCAATGGGTTGCTGCTCAGTTTGGAGTGCCGATGCTGAGGTTCGATTCCTCGCACAAGTAAAGTGTACAAAAATCCAGGCGTCTCACCTGTATTTCTATAGCCAAGAGACTCCCTGGCATATTGCCCAATGCGACAAGCCAGTGGAGCGAGTAACCAGTAATGGTGAGGACTCCTTAAAAAAAAATAGTTCAATACTGTAGGGGAAAGGATGCAACCTTGACGGACACTAGTTCTTATTTCGAAGGAGTCTACTAGTTCCCCATATAGACAGACTTGTGTCAGGATATGATGATAAAATGCCTTTATGAACCGAATGATTGTCTTTGCGATACTGTCACATTCTATCACTTTCCAGAACGCTGCTCTATTAAGCCAATCGAAGAAACCAAAGATCGATAAAGCAAATGACGATGGGTTGATGGTATTTGAAGCGATGTTCCAGTACCATTCTTAGCGCGAATATCTTGTTAGCGCAATATGAATCCAGCTTGGTTAGGACGCATTTTGCTATTTCGTGTTGTCATAAGTCAACTTATCAGGACGAAAGCGAAAATTTTTCCGGAAATGTCTAGTAGACTGATTCCTCGGTAATATGTCCTTAGGAACTGGAAACAAATTGGGTTTGGAACTGGAATTGCTTCGTTCTAGTCTTCTGGTATTATTTCATTTTGTCATACCAGAGAATACATTGAGAATACAGTTGAAGATGAATTATGAACAATGGTGGACAACATTTGAAGAGTTTGGCTCAAAGACCTTGGGAGTTTTATTGGCCTTAAGCTTATGGATTACAGAAACTATATTCTCTTCTATTAAAATTGATCTCTATTATCATATAATAATGATAAGTAATAATAATATTAATGATAAGAAATTATTGAAAATGTTCAAAAATATTCATTATAAAATTATATTCATTATATTATATTCATTAAAATTCATTATAAAATATTCATTTTTTTTCATTTCGGCCAATTAGAACTAATGGCAAATTAGTGATTTGGCATACCTCTCGATTTGGATAAATTACGAGAAAGAATCGATCGACAGCAATCGCCGAAAGAGTAAAACTTGATACAATTATGCTTCCTCCCTTAAATTATTATTATTTTATATTATTTATAAAAAATAAAAATTAAAGAAATTTCATTAGCTGAATTTATCTTAGAAAAAAAATCATAAAATAAAAAAAAAACATAAAAAAATTTTCAAAGAATTTTGCTTTTCATTATTCTACACTCTTAAAATTTTTTACGAAATAATTCCTGTGATAATTTTCTTTTAATTGTCTATTGAAGTAATAGTAATATTAAAAAAAAATAGTGCAAAATATAAAAATGTTAAAATGTTAAAATATTAATTAATTAATTAACATATATTTGTTTGTTTCTTTGCAATTATAGCTATTATTTTTCCTTTTTTTGCCAAAATTTGCTAAACTTTTTTTTAATCTTCTGCGATAGTAGCCCGATTAAAGTCTTTTAGCTTCATTAAGGTTTTTTATAAATTAATAAATCGAGTCAATAAAAGTTAAAAAAGTTTATTGTTTTTTAATAAACTTATCAATTTTATTAATTTTTAATCAATAAAATAATAATAAAATTAGTAATATTAAGATTAAAGTCATTAAATTAATACTTTAGAATTAATATTCTTCTTCTTCTAGCAACTTTCACGATTACTGGCTAGGCTGGCTCCGCTGGCTACAAGGAAAACATATCTCCAAGCTTTTCGCCATCGCTGACAATAATAAAAGCCATTCTTCGTTCCATCGTCTAAATACTTCTATCCCTGGTTCCTCTAAGCGTTCAAAATCTTTCCTGATTGCATCATTCCAGGTCTTGATTTGTCCTCCTCGCTTTTGATGCCAACCATCATAGGGTTCGGCAAGTAGCGAAATATGTGTCAACTCCTGTGGTCGATGATGGAAAACGTGCCCTAACCAGCGAAGGCGTGTGGTTGGCGTCAAATGCTCTGTGATAACATCATTAATACAGGTGATATTTGAGTGAAGATGTATACTATCATGTGCGATTTTATCCGCTTAACGGTAAAATTCGTATGAGAGGTCAGAAGCTGGTAACTTGTTACTATTTTCCACTCTTATTGGCCATGTTTCGCAGCCATATAGGAAGATCGAGTGAATTACAGCTATATGGACCCCAATTTTTATCTCTATGGTGATTTCGCGACGGTTTCATAAAAGTTTCGTTACCTGGTAAATTTCACATTTCACATTTCTAGCTGTCATTGTAGCGAGTTGTATTTCATCCTTTGCCTTGTCATTTGGGACCAGAGTGGATCCAAAGTTTTTAAAGACAAGCACTTTCTTAACCGGTAATGAATTGATAAAAATAAGTATTTATCAGCATCTTGTATATAATACGAAAACGCTTTCCATTTATTTGCATTGATTGATTGTGAGCCAAATTCTCGCTATAAGTTGTTCATACTGATTACTGATTTATTTTGCATTTCATTATAACTATCAGCAAAAAGGACTACATCATCAGCGTGTTCAGGATATGTGATATTTTGTTCTGGACTGGTTTGTACACCTCTTGAATGCCGTCAAGCAATGCCCATTATCCAGTCTATCGCATAATTGAATATTGCGGAAGGAAAGACGAAAAAATATTATCCTTGATTGACGTATCTTTAATTTTATTTCAAAAGGATCAGTCAGTTCCCCATATACACAGATCTGTGCCAACGTATAATGCTAAAATGCCTTTATGAGCCGAATGATCTTCTCTGGAACACCGTCCATTGCTGTTCTATCAATTGAATAGAAGTCAGGTACAAAGTCGATGAAACATACAACTGTGGGTTGCAAATATTTGAAGCGATATTACAACACCTTTATTAACATGTTTTATCAATAGAATATCAGTTAATATGTTCATTAAAATATTAAAGATCGCCCATGAAGACCATCTTCTCCGAAAATTTCTTCGAGAGTTTTATTGGCCTTATGCTTATGGGCCATAGATTATTTTCTCTTCTATTGGCGATTCACAGTTGATATTAATGGTGCGCTTGCTAAGTCTATTAAGGCCTCATAAAATAGAAAGGATTTTTTGAGGACAAACCAGCTACGATGCATCATTATCTGTTATCCCGTATATAGCTGATTCGCTCGTCGAGCCATTGCGACAATTAATATTATTTTATATTATTTTATTAATTATTATCAATTTATTTTGAGATTTTTCCAATTTATTTGTAAATTCTTTAATGGAATCGAAAAAGAAGAATGGATTATTTTTACTCCATTTCGTAGCTTCGATGGTTGGATTCTTTGCAAAAATAAATATATCCTATAGCTCCAGGTTATACTGGTTTCTGTCGTCGAATTCGATAATGGAGCTAATCAGAATTGAGTTCTCTTAGAAAAATTAAAAATGGACTTGAAGACTAAATTTTAAAATTTATTTTAAAAAAATTTTAAAATCAAAATTTATCAAAATTTTTTTTTTATTTTATCTGATATGGTTTTTAATAATACTTTTATAAATTTTTGGATTTTTTTAAGTTTTCTTTGTATCAGTAATTTATCAAATTCAATATATTTAAATTTTTATAGCGATTCGATTCAGATTTCGTTAGAATAATTCATAACATAATATTTACGAGTATTTTTTATAAAAAAATTTATTAAATTATTTAAATATTTTTTAATCATAAATCAATCAACTTAATTATCGTCATAAATTAATATCATTATTGCTTTTTTCATGAGTTCTTTAACAAAAAATTGTAATTATCTGAATAAATATATTGTTTGTGAGAATACTACCTTATCTTTTCAATAATACTTTATTTATATTTCTTATATAAG